TAAGGACAAGATGCATTGCAAGTTCACCTTTGAATCTACAAGACCTAGACAGGGAGAAATAATCTGGGGACGTGAAGAATGCATGCGAGGTCGTCGCAGCTGCTTGATTATACGAGCCTTGAGGTAGCCTGCGGTTGTCCGAAGCTGTCAAGTGTGGAGAGCTCGATTACCCTGGAGAGAGCTGTTTGACGAAACCGGTACCATACCTGAAGATACGGTATTTCATCATCAACCGACCGCCTGTTGGATAACATCATCTAATATCATGGCCTGCCATGTCTCTCCAGCACCTCCCACTTCAGGGCCGTCGGAACGAAAGGCGATATCGCTGTCCAGTCTGCATCGCCCAATGGGCCAGCAAGCCCATGCGCTTGTCTAGGGTAAATGTGGAAGCCAGGGTAAATGGGTTTGTTCAGAGACAGGGGCAGGGAAGATACAATCCCTGCGGAGGGGATCGACCGGCCATGTCCCCGAACGGGCAAATTGCGTCCAGCTTACTTTTGACTTGGCCCAGCGGTCGATTGCGACCCCGCAAGTCTTGTCAGGTGATGGATAGGCTTGGTCATCCTTGGCCCGTCGACTAGATAACTACTGTATCTTTATGCCCGTTGTCAGTTGCCTGTTGATCTTGCTAGAGGGATATCTAACCGCTGGAATGAGTAGGTCAAACGGTAATGCCATCAGGCAGTCAACAGCAAGTACTCCGTAGGCTGTGGGTCGATCATCTAAAGATTCCCTTCCCCGGATATCTACTCATGTAGCACAAGGCAGGAAAGACTCTTATTAATCGCTCCCCCATTTCCCCCTTCAAGCAAGGATCAAAAGAGTGCTAGGCTATGGGGAAATCCTCCTCGAAAGGGCAAAGTCGGATTGAAACCAATATACTCACACAGTAATAAGATAAGGACCTTTCCAGGCTATCGATTCGATAAAGGCGAAGGTCCAAGCGTGAAGAAGCCAATCTGGCGATCCGAGAGCTGTAAATAGTCTTCATTGGCCGCCTGCCTTATACTCAATACAAACTTGTGGTGACTAAATTGTGTATAGAATTTGTGCGGAGAACGGAGTAGAGCATCCCAACATCAATCAGTGAGATTTTCGCCGGTCATGCTTGATTATGTACGGCTCGACAAGTTGACCACCTGCCTGCCAGATGGTGAGACGTACCCCAGAATCAGATGTACAACTTGCTGTACGTATGATACGGCCATCATCCTGCAAGTGGCATCAAGTGCATATTGGAAACCTCCCACATGCAAGGGGGGGGTGTACTGTACATCGGCGGCGGTTGAGTCCAGAATCCGTCCTCCTGTGCCACAATTCGAGACATTCATTTCTACCTGGGGTCTCGGCTAGATACAGTACATGGAAGCAGTTCATCTTGCAAGGACCCAGCAACGATGGAGGTGATGCCGCTTTATACTCGTCGAAGCTGAAGCCGCGGTACAGTACCATAGGACTTCCCCGGATGGAGATAACGATACGGTAAAGACTCTTCGCACCAAGTCTCCGATTCCCTCGTGGCCAATTTCACCCAAGGTCTCTCTGTTTAATCAAAGTTTCGATGTACCTTCTTCCACAACCAAATCTAAAACCGTGTATAAGAAAGATGCCGATATGCCAGGACAACAGTAACCAAGGCCATTTCGGTCCGGACGGGGACCGGCAAGATCGCTGTACTTCACCGATACCATACCGACAACTTCACTCAGCCTCGGTCCCGCGCGAATCTATTTTCGGCGAGCCAGAGACTCTTCACAACTTTCACAGGCGAAGAAAAAGAGGCCCACGCAGTGTGGAGACTTGTCCACTTTCCCACCCTCTTATGTGGCGCCGGCCGGACCCAAGGAATCTCGAGCCTTCGACCTTTTTTTTTCTCCCAGAGTCCCAATTTTCGCTAGCAGAGCAGTTTTAGGCTAGCCTTGCTAGAGAACTAGAAACTAAAACCGCCAGAACTTCCAGCGGAAAGGCGTCGGCGATCATCTACTACTTCCAGACGGCAAAACCTGGTCTGCGAACTCGCACTATCTAGACTACAGTCGGGCACAACTTCCCCCCTTCACTTGCTCCTTCCCCTCAATTGAAGTGACGGGCTGGGGAATTGAAGCAATACGTAGAGAGAATATCTTCCTTCCTCATCGTGTCACTCCGAATCCTGACAGGGTTTATCCCGGATCTCCCTTGGGACGGGGATCGATGGGCTGATGAGGAGAGACCTCTTCCAGAATATTCACCCATTGGTCAACGAGATCTGGTTTCGATCAAGCTGGCTGTCAGTGACTCACTGCTCTCATTTCCAAATGCAAGCAGAAAAACTCTTTTCTCGGGACAAATTCTTCAGCGATAGACTACCGCCACCAATCATAAATGCTCCAGACCCTTGCGGAGGACTGCATGGGCTGAGTCGGGACGGTTCGTCGTCGGCTTTCTTCCGAGATTCCTTTGAACACCATTCGAATCGATCGGTACCTAGGTTGGTAGCAGAAGTAACCTAAACATACATTGCCAGACTCGTAGGTATGCATGATTCATAGCACAAGATTGGCACTATACAAGCGCTTCGTTCAAGGCTTCGTCGAAGTCAAGAAGTAGCTTTCGCGTGGGTACTGAGTAGCTATATCTGGTGTATACGAGTACGACGAGACCAGGTCAGCGTGTGTCGAGACTTGACAGCCTAAGAGCATCAGGGACTAACTTAATTAGATTGCTGACTGGCTAGGGCGGAGCACCGCCACACTCAATGAGAACATATCAGCTTTGATCCATACTGGCAGGCATTGCATTGCGACAAATCGTGACTGTTTCGGAAGGGAGGTACCATACCGTCTAGTAGTACATACAATACAGTTCCGGTGGCACAGAGCTAGTTACGTCCGAACAAATGTCTACATGTGACAGTGCAGTTTAGTCTATAGCTCGCTAAGCGGCTCTATACAAACTCGTGCTCACTTGCTTGCATCTGGCTAACATCTAAATTGGCAATCACTGCCAACGCCTTCTATCACCGGATAGCCAAAGCCTCCATGTCTCGGTTCCACTCAATCAACCACAGGGTCTGGCCCACAAAGCCACAAGTTGGTGGAGGGGAGGTCCTCACTTCCTGGCAGATCCGGTATCCTCAACGGCATCCTCCCGATCCCAGCTCTCAACCTCCAGCGCCCGAACCCGCGCTTCGATGTCCAGGATGCGCTGCCGCCAATACTCCTTTGCCTGCTCTTGAAGCTCCCAGGTCTTCTTGAGCTGCTCAAACAAGAAAGGTGGAAGCGCGGTCTTCTTGGCCTGCTTGTAGTCATATGTGACCAGATCCTCGTGGACGCGCGCGGCGGGTCGGAAGCGCGCCTCCGAGAGAATGATTGCCTGGAGCTGGAATGCATACGGTGAGGCGTCGGGCGCCGCAGGGTCGTGAACCAGTTTGTGATATACCGTAACTTGGTCGGGGTAGGTCATCGGCTGCGCACGCACGCCAACCCGGCAATCAGTTTCGTGAAATCGTTCGGGGGAGCGGGTTCTGGTCATACGAATTTGTAATCAATCTTGATGCTTCGCATAATCAATCCGATCCCTCGGGAGCTGACGAGGTTCATCCACTCCTTCTTATGGGCCGGATCGATGTGCATCGCGAAGTTGCGGGTGAAATACACACGGGCGGTTTCTGCGTACCGAGCGTAGGTGACATTGTTGACATGCCCTAGAATTCCTCGTTAGAGTGTTTGGCGGATTTGGATTGGGATCAAAGTCGGATCCTAGGTAAGAGAGGTATATGTACCCTGCTGTGGTGGTTAGGAAGCTATACATAGAAGCAATTCATTGAGAGGGGTCGGCTTACCATGCTATCCTATTGCGCCGCAGCGACATCTGGCTGTTAGCACGGCTCCTAAACGCTTCAGCGGGATGCGAAAGTTGGCCATCGTACCATTTCACCCCATGCGACAGCCTGCTTGAACAAGCCTCTTCTTGATGCATCGGTCAGATAGCCCTCGCTACCCGCGACGAGCTCTCGCCAATCCCGCGCGATCTGTTGCAGTAATTCGCCGGATTCTTGAATTTGTGACGGCCTAAGACCGAACATCATGCAGCGACCGAGTCTACGTTTGGTCATGGTCAGCCATCGGGGATCAATGCCGTGAGGCTTCTTCGTGGTGGGGCCTGTTGCCGAAACGGACTTCGCTGTCGACGAGGGGGCATTCTGCGGCGAAGGAGAGGTCGAGAGAGACCGAATAGTCGTTACAAAGGATTGAGATTGTAGGGAGAGGCATTGCCTTCTCAAGCTCTGTAGCTGTACCATGGTGGTGACAAGGGGTGTGGTCAGTAACTATAGCATCGATAGGAACCGTAGATGGAGCTGTTGCTTGGATGGTCTCGAAGCAATCTCTCAAGCTGGTCGGTTAGTTCTCCGCCGGGGAGCTGTTCGGTTAACCCCACTCAATCACTCCTCTTCCGTCTCCCCGCGGCCTTGCAGGGCCGAGGCCAGTCGAGGCCACAACAACAGAGGCTTACTTTGGGAATTAATTCAATGGAATCAATATATGGGCCTCTAGGGTCGCATATGTTCAACTCTGCAGTATATATCTGCTATCATTCATGGTGGAATTAGCGTCCGTCCAGCGTCCAGCGTCATATACAGCGTCATATTCAGATCGCAGAGCCGGGTTGTTGGGTGGCACGAGCCAAATTTATGTATACGCTGCTACCTTAGGAGTACTCTACATGACCACCATTTATTTCTGATGCCCAACTAGCTTGTACAAGCACTTCATAAGCTATATGGATCAATCACGGATTGCATCTTCCTGTAGGATTGATTGTAGGCTTGAGGAATACAAAACTGGCCGCCGGGTGACGACGTCACCGGTAATGTTCCGGCGGAAGCAAACAACCCCCATTCCCACCAAGCGGCAACAACCCATCGTCGCCTTCCTATCTTCCTCATCTCGTCGTCGCTATCTTCCTGCCCAAAGACCGTTCACTGCTCAACATTCCTCACACTGAATGGATCAATCATGACTAGCCCAGAACTCCGCTATCAAGTTATCAATATCTACAAAGGTTGGTGATATCTTATCTCTGACAGAAGTTTCGACTGCTGTGCTTAGCAATTCCTAACACCGTAACTAAGCCTATGACTATTTGACTGATCGATCGACAGAGCTCCTTTTCCTCGGCCGCAATTATCCTCTAGGCTACGACTACTTCCGGAACAGGCTACACAAGGCGTTCAGCAGTCAGGCACACCTGGATAATGAAGAGCAGATTCGGAAAGGTATAGCACGAGCGGAGTTCGTCAAGAAGGGTGCGTTATCCCGCCTCACTTGTTTGCAATTGCGGCAGCTTCATTGAACCAACTAATAACCCCTTCAATCTTCTAGAAATCGAGGCTCTGTAAGTACTACCCATGCCTTTACTGCTCCCGTCTGCTCCAACACCTCGCCGACTAGCACTGATCCACGCTACCTATCCACTTATCCCGCCCCCAAACCCGACGCGGTTGATCATAATTTCTTGATATTTCCTATGGATGTACAATCTCAATATATCGTTATGTCATAAACTTATAAACAAATGGGTGCACTGTGAGCAGTGATACTGATGGAAGCACACAGCTACTACCTCAAGCGGTATCGCACGTTGAAACAGCGCTATGAGAACAAATAGCATCCAACCATCCGCATCCGACACACATCGCAGCAAAAATTATACAGAAATGAATATTATGGCAATTTGAACCAAAAAAAAGAGAGAAACGTGGGGGTATCACCAATATGAGAAGAGAAATGGTCACGGTTCCTTTTTTTCTTTTTCCTTTCCTCTCATTCGCCTGAACACCAAACGTTGAGTTCACGATCCTGGCCGCCGGCAAAGGCGCCTATATCTTTCGACCCCACCAAGCACTAACCTCCAAGCACTCCCCATTCGCGAGGCCATCCTTCTGGAACAAATCGGTCATCATTGCTGCCCACCAGCGATCCCATTCGTCCTTGCTCTTCCCGCTGGCCTCCATAAGAATGTGCTCCATGCCTTCTATCATTTGGATGACCGTCAGAAGCGCAGTGCGTCGGATGGATAACTGATCGGCCGTCAACTGTCTTCGAGTTCCACCACTCGTTTCCTTTCCATACCCGTCCCGTTCCCAGCGTAGTTCGCCCAACGGAATGGCAATGCGACGACTGTCGACCTTCTCGAGGACGTCTACCTCCGCATTGAAGGATAGGCCCATCGTGGCGCATGGTAGAGCAGTCAATTTCCGCTGATCGAACGCTTTCTCAAGCCAGGTATTGTAGTCTTGGAGAAACTTGTTCTGGGCGCGCGTGAATGGCGTGGCAGACGAGAAGGTGTACGTCGCGGTCGCATCGGCGGTCTCTTGTTCTCTCGAGGCCAGTTTGCGAGCGGGTGCCGGATTGGGCAGCAGAGAGCGGAACACCCAGTCGGAATCCCAGACTTCCAAGATACCCCCGGACTTAAGAACACGCAACGGCTCGCTCAATCCCGAGGCTTGCTGGGCGGGACTGGAAGGACACATACCCGCATCCTTGATGAAGACAAAATCGAAATAGTCGTCGGGGAATGGCAGGCGGGGCTTGCGTAGGTCGTGACGCTTGAATTGCCAATTCACGCCCTTTTTGCGCAGGTCGGGTGCGACGGAGACGATGTCAATGCCGTTGAAGGACACGGTGCGGTGGCCGCGACGGGCGAAATAATCATGGCACATGCTGGACCACAGTCCTGAACCACAGGCGAGTTCCAAGACTCGCTTCGGGGCGCGGTCGGCCAAATGTGGGTTGCAGAAGGGCCCCCCGAAAACGCGCATGAGCATGAGCGAGCGCAAGGTCTGTCGGTGTATCTCAGGAAGGTCGCATGGAAGAGGATACTGGTTGTCGGGGTCCCGGAGATACGTGCGATCGCCATGGCGTATCAAGGGAAAATTGGAGTAGTCATTGAGGGAGGAGAGGGAGGAGGTCGACGTCGCTGCCAGGGTTATACCGGTCGAACTGGCGGTGGAATGAAGGTCGGAGCCCGAAGCTGCGGCAGGCGCAAGGACCGCCGGTCCATTTGACATGATATCCATTTCGGAGGGTTCAGGTGGAGTGGTGGATGCTCGTCAATTGAGGGGGCCTGCTAAGAACGAACGATGTGCATTCTTCCGCATACAAACAGTGGCAGCGCAGATCGGTCACGAACGGGGCAGGAGTTCGATTAGGAGGAACATGATACGTTAATGGCGACAGAAATAGAGTAAGAAAATGGCCGAAACAAGCGAGGCTGACAGTATTAAATGTGGTTGTGGTGGTGGTGGTAGTGGTGAGGGAGGAGGCAGTGAGTGATGATGAATGTTACGCAGCTCGGACACCGTTCCAGGTCAATCTGACCCATGGAAGGAGAAGGTGTTCGATTAAAGGAGGGGAGAGCGAGAGAAAGAAACGAGAACAGTCAGGCCTAAAGGAGGGGGGCAAAAAATCAAATCAAATCAAATCAAATCAGAAAGAAAAATTAGAAAACCACATTGTGACAAGAAAATCGAACCGCCCCGGCTCGATGACCCCTTAGGGCCACTCCACTTGTTGCGACGCAATTTTAGTAGTTTACTTTAGTGACTTCGTAGTTTACTATCGTCGACTCCAGGCTTAAGTGCAGCAGTGAGTGGTCCCGGCAGGCCAACGTTTCTGGAATGGACCCGGCCTGGCCTTAATTGTTTTTTCTCCCCTTTGACCCTCTTGACTTGCCTGTTAGCGTGGACCGAAATTGAGTATTTATCTATTTCCCCTCCTCACCGTTGAAACGGCTCTTGGAGATCTTGGAAATCATCGTCTAAAGTATAGCACCGAATACTCGCCGAAATGCCCCCTCGGAGACCTAGCCTAGGGAAGCGATGAGTAGCTTTCTAGTGGTGGTGGCGGCAAATCTTCGCCCTACCGCCAGCTCCACGAATGAAGCCGAATCAAATCATATTTCCAACGCCAGGATGATACGAGAACAAAGTACATTTGAGAAAAGCAGATCTTATGCTTGTCCAAAAGGTATATCTATCCCAGAACTGCCAGCACAGTACTCCGTACATACTTGCAGCACGGCATCCGAGCTCCCGGAACCTTTTCCCCGCGATAGATAGATCAGGACAAACCCCGATTGACTGCATAGATTGGAATGCAATGCAAGAACGCGCGCGAGAGAGAGAAAGGGCATCTGATCCGTCTGGTCGGAACTTTGACCTTGAGATAGTTAGTCCATGCCAGAAGTACTTTGCAGGAAGTTCAAGTTACCTATCCGCATGTATATTAACTACCACAACTGAGCCCTTTTGCTTTTTCGTGTTCGGCCTTGTTTTCCAAGTAGTAACGTTAGTCAGTAGCCCCATCCCCCATTTCCTCACCCGGACAAAGTTGTCTCGGGAAGTCGTGCTAGTCTACTACCTACGGTACTACGGTAATCTAGTACTAACTGGACCATACTCAGTATGTCCAATTCCGGGCACGGGGTCCTTAATAAGTTTACTTCAAACTACTACTACTACGCCCGGCGTACGCGGGCGGGCATCTGAACCCATGAAAATGGGTACCGGTACTTCCGGGGAGTCAATAAGAAACCCAAGGTTCGAAGCGAACACGACACCACACACCCACACCGTGCACGCAGAACTTTCTCTTTTCTCTGTCTGTTGCGGTTGTGATTTGCGAAAAGTTCAAGAAAGTTTAAATTGGGTTTTTTTTCGAAGTGTGGTTTGGATCTATGTCTCACGGAGTTGTTCCTCCGTGACGAACCCCCCCCCCCCTTCTTCGATCCCGGGCTTGCTACAGTAGTAGGATGGGTTTAATTGGTTTGGGATTTTCTTTTGCTTCTTGTCTCTTTGTTTTTCCCTGCCGAGGTGCCGGCCCCCGATCGTCTTTGGTTTTTCTATTTTATTCCTGTTGATTGTCTTCTGCCGGGATCAGAATTCACTATCGCCTGACTGGTACCATATAATTAACTGGTATTGTTACTTGAAGAGAGTGGCTGCTTGGACATGGGTATCTAGCTCGTGGCTGAGTGTCTATAATATGACCGTAGGAGGAGGAGGAGGAGGCAGTGTCCTTTCGCCCCTGCACATCGAGGGAAGAGAAGTATCGGCGCAACTGACGCTGATGATGATATAATCACAATAACAACAATAGTGCATGTCACTACAAGTCTGACATCATGACAACCGACTTATCCGTTGTTCCCCCTTCCTTGGGTTCCTGTGTGTGGTGGATCTGCTTGTATGAAATCCCGAAATGAAGATTCCCTCCGGGACGGGGGACGGGGAGGCGAGACAATGGGCGCGGCACGGCGCACAGCGGGAGATGCGTTAACCCATCACCATGGTTCTGCCTTCCGTTGGCGGTGTTATAGTTATATGTATCCTGTAAAGATCTGAGGCCTCATTCCCTGAGGGAGAAATCGCATAGTCGAAGGTAACACAACCACCAGGGAAGAAAAACTTCAACAGTGCAAATGGCAGTCTAGATCGTGGCCAGGGAAAATGATTTCCCATGCTGAGTCGACTGACTCAATTGACAAGATGGATATTCATTACGCACTGAAACCTCTGGGTCGGTCTAACGCCCCGCCAGGCTGGGTGCCACCGGTGGGTGGGTGGTTCTATAGACCGAAGTCACCTAGGCTATGTGCATTGCCGGGCCCCCCCCCCCCCCCCAAGGAGAAGGAATGGGGGGTCCCCGGGGCCACTGACACGTGCTGGCACGGGTCACTTGTTGCCCTGACAGGGAGGGACAGGGAGGTACCACTGCCTGGGTACCAACTTCAGGGTCGGTCACTAACTACTAGTTAGTTGAGATTCAAGAGTAATTGTTTCAAACGCAGGTTGACCCTGCCCTGTCTGTGTGTCTTCTTCTTTGCCCCCCTTGCATTCTAAAAGTGGTGGGTGTCTCTGCATGTATATGTTTGTGCATCTGTGTGCAGTACTACTGCTATGGCTGTGCTTTTGTGGATTATAGATGGCTGCTTATTCGATGGCGATTTGGGGGCAGAATTGAGTAACCAGGAGTTCTGTGATGTTCAGATGGCTTACCCCAGCTTATTGTTAAGTACCTTGTGTATCTTGCATAAGGCTGTCATGGTGACTATCCCGTATAAGTCTGGCCGTGTAGTTTGTCATCTTTTATGTGAAGGTAAACTGAAAGAAGGCTCGACTTATGATTAGTCTAGGATCATACTCAGTATACCCACAGTAACCAATTGCCAGTCTATTATAGGTGGATAGAAACGAGTCTCCAGGAACAGGTTGAACGCACGCATTGTAAGGCGTTTAATAGAGAACCTGGGTCTTGGATCTTGACTCCAGCGGTCTCGTCTGACTGCATCGGTTGAACCATCCTCAGCAAGGACTTATGAACCACCCTTCGAATTCTCAGTACAGGAAGGATGAAGTTGTGCTATCCAATTGGCAGAATTGAATTATAAGAACTTCATAAATTCTTAGAATTGAATCATTGGAATTCAATTATCAGACTTAGTTTCCCAGAATCGACCAGTAGTCATTCAATGTCCTGCGTTTAATATACTTTATAACTATATCTTGAGGTTATAGATACAGCGGTCTTCACACGATGGCCAATATTCAGCACAGTGTCAGAGCACACTTTGGAAAAGCCCCTTAAATACAGCAATAATCTTCAATT